TACGTCTGTCGCCCCTTCAGGAAGAGCAGGACTAATTGCTCCTTACATTTTACAATCACAGGCTCAATTGTTTCCGTCTCCTCCTTACATAATGCGCACACTGTATCTGTCTCTTCAAACTGGGCCCTTTGTGTTTTTGTTCTTAGAACCCTCAAACAGTAGAGCACTCCCGCTTAGATTATCGAATAAACCTTCCTTGCTTATTCCTTGTAGCCTGTAAATCGTGTGATCTGTGATCTGATTTGTGAACTGTAAATTCTTACAGCTGACTTCGCCGGCGTTTTCTACTCCCAAATCCATCTCTCTGCCTTCTTAACTGCATTCTCCACCGAACGCGCTGGCTCTACCCAATTGTTCGTCCGCAGGAATTTCCTCCTAAGCTTTCATGTCCGTTTCGTCCATTTCTTGTTCAGACTGCTCATATACAGGCATTTATAGATTTTATGCACCCACCGCGTGTAATTGATGTCTGTTAGTCTTTGGTGAAAATTCATTTTAAGGCGATAGTGTCAAAAAGCTCGTGTGGCAGAAAATCTGGCCTCGGTGGCGTGACAGGAAAATCCTGATTGGTCGATAGGGTCATGACGTCACGGACAGATGACCTCGCCCGAGAATTTCCAAAAACCCACAACTTTCACGTGACGTCAGGAGATGATTGACTCAGATTAAAACGTGACATGTAATGCAAATTAAAGGTCGCCACATGTCTGAAATGATTTTGCTTTATAAAGTAATTGTTTTCCTTAAAAAAATTAAGAATTTTATGCGGAGGCGCGATTTCAACCTACCACTCTTCGGTTCCGAGCCAAACACCCTACAGACCAGCGCAACGCACTTTTTTTATTTATTGCAGAATGGTACATGGGCGATACGGACACTTTTGAAACCCTAAGAAAAATTGCGTGCCGGCAACGTTAAAAGGCTTAAAAGTTTCCACCTGCCGGTCTTTCGGCTGGTGGGAAGACGTTAAAATTCTGTCAGCAGTGGAAGTCATTCAAGTGTCGGCAACCATACCATCCCCGGATAAACTTTGCGGTACACTGAAGCTAGCCTTGACACATGTTCGATGAAGTAGAATCGAACACGATGCGCATCCACATTCGCATGGCGAACGGCCATTCTACTTCTTCAAATGGAGTGCAAGCCCAATAATAGTACAAGGTCATAAGGGGAAGTATAATCCAGCACCGACAGAAATCCAATTCCATGGACCATGAGTGGCCGGTCTTTTTTGTTGTGCTGTCCAAAAAATGGTTGGCATCCCAACAGTCAAGGAACGCGTGTTCCACTGTCTCCAACTTCTTACATAAGCTGCAATCTTCGCCCCACGGTACATCCAGACCTTTTTTTTACAACCATGTTTAACCGGAAGGGTGTCGGTATGCAGCTTGAAGAAGAAGGTTTTAACTGACCCACGAATTGCTATCTTTTCACACGGGTCAGTACATCATATAGTCCTTGTCCTAAGGGTACAAAGTTCGATACAGAGACACAAGAAATCAGCTATTGACAAGGTCCCGTGACAAACGCTTTTGGGACATTGTACGCAAATACTGCATTGAAAATCGCACTTTAATAAATTGGTAAGTTCCCACTACCTTTTTGAGGAAACCGTGTACGGCTCCACAATAGGAGTCGTACGTTTAAGCAATAAACTCTGGTAACCCGCATGGTAATTGTACTTGAGTAAGTGTTCTCACGAAAGAGGGCGCCTGGCCCCGTAAGAAAAAAAAAAACACAACAACTTTGAGACCAGCTGTTGTACAAACAAATGAGACAGACTGCAGTCCTCCGGACCTTATGCAACGAAAAAGACTGTCTCGCCTACCCCTTTGCCGCTTTGAATTCCATAAGAACACTGCCAACACTCTGTGCATGCGCTGAAAGTGCACCCAGCGACAGTGTAACACTTGTAGCAGGTACCAAATTTTGGCTACAAAGATATAAATTACACACAGAAGCCCGCGCAAACACAGAAACATCTTCGCCAACTATATACTTTGCCGCTTTAACACTCATTCTCGCCGTTTTGTCAACCCAAAGCTCATCGCTGTCTCGATAGTGCCTTAATTGCACCCCCAAGTCCGACGACTATAGTCTGTTTCATCATATGAAAGAGCAACACAATTAAAGATGTAGACAAAAAAAGAAAAAAGAACGCGAAAATGCGAACACACATTAAAAATCCAATGTAACGGCGCACTCAAAATTATTCCTTAGTGTTTTAGAGAGCAGGAGTTTCGTAGGGCGACATTGTTACCCGTTCTAGATTATAAAAAGTGCAGTACAACTGTTAGTTCGGAACCTTTCACGTGCATTACGCAGTATATGTGATACACGATCGCACGACGGTAGGATGCAGATGGGCGACAGAACCCAGTGTCTCTGCTAAAGCCCTCTGATAAAGGTTTTTTTTTTTTAGAAGTACCGCCAACCATTGTTGTGGAAACGCGCAAGACACGTGCCCACTGCCACTGCCACGAGGGGCTGCTCCGCTGCGCCGGCCGTTATTTGCTTTGAAGGGCCAGTCATTTTTGTGCTGCGCCGCCATTTGCCTACAACGTCCGCTCGAGAAACCGGCTTCGTGCACTGGCACATTTGACATCACTTGAAAGACCAACGCTAAACACCCAGGGGCTTTATACATTGTTTCACCTTGTGTTGTACCGCAGGAAAGGCTACAAGCGCGAACTCTTTGCTTCTGCCTAGCTTTTATAACCGAAACCAGAGCAGCGAGATAACTGCCTTGCGTACTACAAAATTATGGAAGCAATAAGTTTCAAGAGCTCGAGTACGTCACCGCAGAAGTAGGCGAGACGGTGCCCACTGTTTACACACTTGCGGTATCCACGAGTGGTTCCAGGAAAACGACGTCAACAGAGGAGCTCGCGATTCAGCATAATGCAGGGCCACGGGCCCGTGAATTTCCAATCTTCGGGGTAATGGCGGTATAAAAAAAAATATAAAAAAGAAATGCTTCAGCGCAACATTAGTGATTACGAATAAAACCGGTCACAAACTCCCAAGCCCCACCGCTCCACTCGACACCGACACGACATACGACAACAAGCTGCATCAAACGCCCCAAAAGTGAAGCCGTCTGCTCCCGTACGCGTACTGCAACTAGCGGAAGTGAAGTGTTGGGCGATGATCCTTCACAAGGATATATAAAAAATGCTTTGCGCGAGGATAATTTCCATTGATCATTAAATATATAATGATAAAATCCCAATAATTTGTTTTTCTACCTGATTCAAGCTAGTCGGACTGCTCGTAACACTGGTCAAGCATGAAAATAACAAAAATTTTAACTTTTTCACGGCCGGTTTAAGATTTATTGTTAATACATCGTTGTTTTTCGCACCGGATTAACAGTGTCGATTTTGTCGCCTTGCTTTTTAAATGCAAACAGTTCTTACACACGGATGTCCATTGTGCCGTGTTTTGTGTCTTCTATAAATCTGTACGGGCAAAGAGCTCACCCGCACATGGCAAGGTTATATACGCCACGGGGAGAAACGCATGTTGGTAGGAAGTCGGGCAGTGTCGTTGTTGTGTACGTGTATGTGTCGGTGCTGTGTAATACTCGTGTTGTCTGTGATGTATGTAGGGTTGCTGTCCACTCGTGATCGTTCTCAGCGTATTAACAGAATCCCGCCTTTCTTTTTTCGCTGGCCGCCAGAACCCTCACTAGGTGGCGCAAGTTACCCCTCGATTCCAAATAGTTTGCTCGAGCTGTTTATCCATGTAAGTTCGATATTCGTTTTTCTAACCAGCGGTTCCGTCGTAGCTACCGACGCCACCAGCCGCCCACGACGGACGTACTTACCTTTGCACGTAGCTACGCCCGCCACTTGGAGACTGTTTACTGTGTAGAAAAAAACATCGAACGAGAACAAACGCGTCCTGTGTGCTTTCAATTCGGTTTAAAGGCGGGCGGCTCGCTGGGCTGGTCTCTCACCTGTTCTCGGCTGCTGGCCGCCATGTTTTATGAGCACGCTCAGCCAACACCCTCAACCGTGTTTCGCGGAAGGCAGACACGGTGCAGCATGTTAAGTTTTTACGACACCTCGTGTGAAGGCGAATAACACACATGGCTGCTTGTAAAACGAACACGTGTTGACGTGTCCGCTATGGGACAACGGTTTACACGTCTAGGCGTGTTATTTTTGCTAACAGTGTAAAACAAAGTATGAAAGCACGAAAGGAAATCACCTTTTCCAGGTCTTGGGAAGAATACCGTAACGAGTAACGTAACTACTTTACGCGTTATTCGAAATAAGTAGCGTAAGTACGTTCCCCGTTACTGTCATAAAAAAGTAACGAGTACGCTACAACGTTACAGAAAAATTAACGCGTTACCGGTAACGTCGTTACTTGTAACGCGTTGCCGCCAACACTGGCAGAGAGCCACCGACGAGCGCTTGGTCGTTGCTTTGTGCGCGAACACCGCCGGAAAAAAAACCTGGGTGGTTTCAATCGACGGTCTTCCTGCACGTAAACAAGCCTCGGGACGAAGATTGAAATAGAAGCCGCGCACGCTCTCCTTCAGGGAAGTGCTTCCCGCGCCAACCGTCAGCACGAGGCGACCATTACTTTCGATCCTCGGATAACATCCACCTTCGGCGCCTTTCAAAGTCAGCCAGAAATTTGCGGAAGCTCACTCCACACCTTTCCTCTACCTTTTGGTGCAATTGACGGCTACACAGCTTTGCGGCATGCTGACATGCTATGACGGCCGTGCAAAACGCGCGCCCTTCTGCCCACACCATTCTTAAGTCAAGACCGGCGAGCGTAAATCACCTTTTTATAATTGTAATAAAGACATTTTCCAACCAACCCGGCTCCAGTGCTATCGCAGCGCAGCCGCAGCTCCGTGGCGTCAAGCCTGCGTGTCGTTATGTAGATCTAATGCCAGTTCGAATTCGGTTTGTCAACCCAGACGTGCGCAGTGGTGGTCGCGCTTGAACGTTAGGGGCAAGACTCACCGGGCACTATGGTTACGTTGGGCATAAACTTTAATAACGACCATGACATTTTCGTTTGCGCATTAGTTGGAGCTTCCAGGTCCGACTTCGTCCTTCCAGAGTTGCAGATCAATGTCGGGTATGTCGGCACAGTCCACCGTTGGGTTGCTACGGCAAAGAGACAAACATATTCAAGAGGCGTAAATTAGGGTCTCCGAATTCGCGTCAGATCCTTTTTATATCGTTTCCCCTACAATTCCTTATACAAATGAAAGATGTAGGTCTTTTTATGGCTGGACCGATGCCCTCCGGGAAACCTTTAATATTGACCACCTCGAACGGTTCTTGTTGTCACTTACAGGCTACAGCTTATGACATGCAAGGCGTAACTTCTAATGTTCACGGTGCTTTCTTCGTTTTTTGTTCTTCGGACTTCTTATGTCACATCTTCATTAGCTGGGGAGCGATCACAAGATGCTCGAAAAACGCGACTTCCTGCGTTTCGTAACCTGTCAGATACGATTGTAGCAGAACGCGTTTGTTAAAGGGGAAAGGCGCTGTTTGTGCACTTGTATCTTACTTCATCACGTAGCACTAAGGAACCGACAAAATATTCATCTGAGGGCAAGTTGGGTGACGAACCTTCAAGAAACTCGCTCAAGTCCAGTTTGTAGAGCGTATTAGTCCTCCCACCCCCTCCCACGACGTTGACAATTTGACAATTGCGTAGTTAAATACTTACTCTGTACTTTCGGCGTTGAACACGTTGCGCCTTAACTTGTAACTGCCACCGATGTTCTCGCAGATAATCTTGGCGAAGGTTGTTTCACGGAGCGATTGAAGTTGCTCTGCAAAAAGCGAACGATTTCGCATTTATTTGGATATTTATGTATCAGTCTGTTAACTTTATGAAATTCCCGTATCACCCTTCAGAACCGCCACAGGCACTTGTTGCACCAAATCGACCGTCGTAATCTAAGGTGAAAGCTTGAGGTTAGGGATTTGTCTACAGTGAAATATAAAAAAAAGCAACATTAACCTTCGCAAACAAAATATTACGTGGCTGTACACACACACACAAAAAGAAACTAGTAAGGTTTACGACGCGATTCTAAGGTGACCAAGCACATTTCACTAGAATGTCCTGTTTTCTTTCGATACATGCAATAACAAAACTTACATATTTATTTATCTCATAATGTAAAGATAAGGTTCGCGCATATTATGCACATGGGCGAATTTATGGATCAGGTTTGGGGGGAGGGCGGTGCAGAGTGATGCGACGTCAAGAATACATTGGATATCATGGGCACGGCGTTACTCAAATCGATTTTGTATACACTATAAAAAATGCCTGCACGTCTACTTACACGCATAACTCTCAAAGGGCCAATCTCTGCGAGCTAGAAAATCAGCACAGCGACTGATGAGGCGGAACATCTGTTTAGACCTCAAAATGAAGTCTGCGCCGTAGCCTTACGCAATGCAAAGCGTCATGCTTGCATTGCGTAATGCCATAGCGCAGACCTAATTTTGAGGTCTAAACAGATGTTCCGCCTCATCTTTAGCCGAGCTGATTTCGTAGATCGTAGAGATTGGTTCTTTGAATGTTATGCGTTTAAGTAGACGCGCAGGCATTCTTAAAGGGACACTGACAGGGTATTTATGCTCGCCGAGGTTGTTAGTTGTACGTGACATATGAGGGCTCAACTACCCAGAACAGAATTTGCGGCTCGAAATTCGGTTTCTTTCCGCCCGAAAACCGCCGATCAAGAACTGGCCGGTTCGAGTCTCGCTCACTCTCTTTTCCGCGGTCACGGGCCATTTTCTAAGGTATCGATGCGACCACCAAATTTAATCAAAGTCGTGGGTCACTGAAGGCACACACTCATTATTAAAAATAGAAAAAAATATGAAACCCATCTTTTGTGGCTTCTAAAAAGCTGCAAATACGTTGATTGAAAAAAAAAGTTCCACAGACAACCGGAAGCATTCTGTGCGTTCGTCGTTTCGCGTATCGTGGGACTCGCGGGGACGGCGATGGCAGCGGACGACGGGCGTGGGACCTCTATTTCAGAACTGTCGTTCGCGGTACCGGCGAATTCCGTCTACCGTTAAAAGAGAAATTTGGGACTGATCAAAAGAATTGGTATTCATCCCGTACGACACGCCCGGCCACCAAGCCGATTTGCACGAAGACGTCGCCGAGCCGTCGCTCCCTTCTCGTGGCTGAAGACAACGCTCGCGCAAACGTCAAGCACGACGTGTCTACTTCGAGTTGAATATGCACGCGTACGATTTCTTTACTAGTGCGAATGTCCCCAAAGCGTGGTGCTTCCCGACTTCGACCCGGGAGTGCTTTTGCTAAAGAAAAATCGACAGCAAACTTTCCAACTTACAGTTTACCGGCTGAATTATTACTAAGGAAAGAGATCCACCCGAAACGAGATGCCCCAGTAGCTCAGTGGGAAAGACGTCCGCTTCACACACCGAAGGTCCGGGTTCGATCCCCCGTGATTTTTTTTTTTTTTTTTGCAAACAATTTCTGATGTTTACATATCTTTTTCTTTTTTTTACAATCATCACTGAAGAAACAAACAAAAAAAAAATAACAAACAAATGTTGTGGACGATACTTCGCTGAATTAAACGGTATGGGATTTCCGTTTTGACACCTGCGAACTCAATGTAATCACTTTCCACAAAGTGCAAGGAGCATATAAATCAGGTAGCGTCCGCTTTCCGAGGTGCCCGTAAATGTTCTACAGGAATTGCAGCCAGCCATTGGTCCCGATCCCGTTGATCTTTCGACAATGCCACTTTTTTTCGGATGCAGGACATGTGAGCCAGCTCTTCACGCAACATCTTGGGTTTATACTTTTCGGAGCCGATCATGGAAATTCACCACGGGCACTCACTACTCATCTCTAACTCCTCAATGTACAAAACAACTCATCTTGGAGTACATAACAACGAGCGGAACAAACATAACTGCAAAAGAATGGCACGGCAAGCAGTTCCCGCACGCCGCATGTCGTGTCGTCTGCTACCGGAGAGGAGAAAAACAAAAAACAAAAAAGCACGGTCGGGTGTAGCCACGTGACTTCCGCCAGTCACTCTCTTCTCTCCACTTCTCCGACCTCCGTCGGGTTTCGGTTTCGGTTTCGAGCAGTTGCGTCTTTTGTCTTTATTAAAGAAATACGCTACTCTGTTGCAAAATATTAATTGGGTAGTCCCCCGACACCATAATGAAGCGCCTGGCAAAAAATAAAAAAAATTTTTTGGGGGGTGTCAGTGTCCCTTTAAGAGAGTACCGAATATTTTTCACTTCAAGCTATACACCGTAAAAAAAAGTAGAACGTATCTTTTTATAAACAAATTGCTTTTGGGGAGTTTAGACGATGTCTCCCCCGCCCCTTTGCCCCCTTAAATCCACCGTTGATTGAATATAAATAATGAATATTGCCATTCTCCAGAATGAACACATTGGCAGAAATAACTTTTGTCAATGATGTCCAAACTGAAATTGAAATTGGCAAGGAAGAAGCCCTCTTAAGGATACTAGGGTCAGATTTTAGAACTTTAATTTATGCCTTGCTTAAATACTACCCACATAAACTTTAAAAAAAAAGTTATGACGCTTTGAAATGTCACTTCATTCATGAGTGACGAAAATGTTGGATAACAATTAATTTTTTATCCACGGAGTAAAATGCGATGTACGTTTTTTTAAGATTTAGATATTTTATTTTGATCATTACTTTTTTAAATATATTTGTGAGAACATGTCCATGGTTTATAAAAACCTAGAGTGAAAAATCTCCAAATAATTTAGTTTCCAAAATTAAATAGAAATTTAAAAAAAAAAAGAATCTATTGTTTTTTCGGCATTCTATGAACTTGTTCAGCAATTATACGTGAGACCTTGGAAATTGAGGGACGGAACCATGTTATAATATACACGCTGGTCACGTTCAATTTACTGTGAATTGAGTACAGATAGTTGCGTCCAATAGATCTGACTTTTGCCCTTGTACGATAGATTTTCACGCGGAACTGCATCCTTACAGACGCTAACTCAGATTCTGTGTCGTCTGGAGAGTGTCTTTAGAGAGACAGGGAAGGCACCAGGAGAGTCCTCTACGAGAACTCCATCAAGCAACATTGGTGTCCGCCATTGCTCGGGCACGAAGCGTGTGATTGGTTCCGAGTCATCGCCGAACGCTGACGTCACACTCGTTCTTAATGCGAGCGGAACCGAGCACACGCCGAACGCTGACGCAGCACCGTGTCCAATACACGCTCAGTTTGCGCTCCCAAACCTTGGTGGATTCAGATATTTGGCGCTGCAGCCACTAGATGGCGCGCACTTTTGAAAAGAGTCCAATGGGTATAATACCCAAGTTACACTAGTAACGTTTAACGGTCATTAAGCCAACGACCGTTGAGTCAATCGCGATCGGCCGGAGTTACACTGTGCCGCCAACTGTCATTGAGCCGCTAACGATCATTGAGTTCAACTGCCTACGTCGGTTAACTGATGGGGCTTCGCCCCACCAAAGCTAAAGATGGTGGTGTCCGTCGCATCGCCGCCCATGGCCAGCGCCAGCGAAGCACTGATCAATGCGGAAGATTGGGCGAGATATTTAGAACGTATTGAAGCCGCAAATATTGTCCGAAGAGGTACGATTCGGGGACAGAGCTGCCACTAGAACGATCACGGCACGTCGCGGAAGCCAAAACTCGGCGAGGGCGGCACCTTGCGATGTCGGTGCCGATAAGACTTCCGTTATGACTCTCTTGCTTGAATTCGTGTGAAACGTTTTGATTATTGATTTACTCTAAAAACAAAAAGAAGAAGTTAGTTTTATTTTGTTTAAAATATTTATAATGATTGAAAAGTGTGGATATAATTCATTTGCAACACTTGAAAAAAAAAGTAATGTGATATTATTTTGGTTTTGTTTCGGTTTCAACTGTGTCCCCCTGGCGAGCGTCTCAACTGCACTCTAAAAAAAGCCTGCGCGTGTACTTACCCGCAAAACACTCGAAGAGCCAATCTGTGCGATCGACGAAATCAGCTCAGCGAATGATGAGGCGCAACGTCCGTTTAAACCTAAAAATTTGATGTTCCGCTCATCATTCGCTCAGCTGATTTCGTCGATTGAAGAGATTGTCTCTTTGAGCGCAGCGTAGACACGCAGGCATTTTTTAGAGTGTGAAGTTGTTATTCCTTTGTACCGTGCAACACGGGACAACCTAGTTGAGCTAAATGGCAGTTTGAAAACACCAACGATCGTTGGATTAATGACAGTTAAGAGCGCCAGTGTAACTGGGGTATTACTGCAGAGTCTAAAGGCCCGTTCACACTCTTGCGACCGAGTACGACTGAGAGAGACGAGATCTCTTAAAACTTCTTAAAATTTTTTTAGAATGAGGGAACACACTGGGCATTGTGGCGCCATCTATGCGGTGACCCTGGAACTGCATTTCACAAGAGCGAAGGTTTTGCGGGGTTTCATAGGTCAAATGTGCGTAATACCCATAGAAAGGCTCCTTTATAACATTGACAAGAGTTTTTCGAGCCAAGAAAGAAAGGATAATGCGCGAGAAATAAAAAAAAAAAATATGCCGGACCGCCGAGTTTACACTGCTTCCCAATTGATGGCGCCAGTGTGTTTTCTGGTTTAAGAAGTTTTAAGGAACCCAGGTTTAAAGAAGTCGCAAGAGTGTGAACGGGCCTTAACTCCATCGAAATGGATGGTACCTAGCGACTCGAACAAAAAACTGTGCCGGCAGATTCGCTCGCTAGCCTTCTCGGGCGAATCAGATATTCGGAGCTCCCTGGCGGTCTAAAGACGGAGCCATGAATGCAGGTTAAAAGTCACAAAGTGAAAATCGCAAATAGGCAGCCCGCCAAACACCTATATCACCTGCAAACTGCACATGTTCGCACGTGTCACGTGTCAACATGCTATAAATAACCTGACATGACGCTCCGTGGCATGACGCTCCGTGTGTACGTCTGACAAATGACAAATAGTTGACAAATAGATTAAAATACAGTTAAATGTAAACATTTCGGCGGAACTCCGGCTTGTTAGGTAAGGAATTAGAAAAAGTACTACGTAGACTTTAACCAAGTTCTTCAATATGCCCGACGTTTCGAAGCCAGCTCGGCTCCTTGTTCACGGGTGACTGTATATGAGCCCAAAGGTAGACCTGTCGTCGTTTTCTTCTCCTCTCTCTTAGCTTAGACGACAGGTTGCTACCTTTGGGCCCATATACAGTCACCCATGAACAAGGAGCCGAGCTGGCTTCGAAACGTCGGGCACATTGAAGAAATTGGTTAGAGCCTACGTAGTACTTTTTCTTAAAATACAGTTGCAATTTATTTCTTGTTGTGAGCAAGTCCGCCAGCTGAACGCAACCTTGCCTTCATTGAAGGAGCCCACTTGGTCACCGTGCTCGTAATAAAACCTGTCGCCAAATTTGAGCTTCTGGAACATGTCGGCCACGATGTAGCTGAAGGTGGGGCCAACGGCAGTTCCTGGGACGGTATACTCGGATATTCCGGCCGAGAACAAATCGATGTCTTGGACATTGCTGCAAAGATCAAACGTTTGAGTTGCGCCTCAAGGTCGCTGGGACCGGGATGGAGGGGTCAAATATGAAATGTTTGGCATAGCAATTTTTTTGCTTCGTCGTGTACCTCTCAGATTGTTTAGATGAAATTCTTCGTTAGAAATTAAAATTACCCTAAAGTATTGCATGCACTACCCGAAGCTCAGGTGTTACGTAACGTCAAAGTGTGCGTTAATAACTCATTTACGAAAAAATGCTTTCATTTTATTTCTCAATGTTTCCAGGTACGTGTATAATGCTATATAGCTATGCCCTTTTTATTTATTTTTTTTTTTTCTTCCGCATTTTTTGCTGGTTACGGAGTACAGCCTGACAAGTCTCCAGGGTTTGGGCTGACCCTTACATAATCTGTATTGTAGATAACAAATAAAGCTATCAATATTATTATAAATTGGCAAAAACATTGGTAGCGACATTTCACTCCAAAGTGGTATAATGCATGGTTTTCTTGCTGCTGGATGTCCTCTGTAAACTATTCGTACGTAAATTTGTAGAGCTTCAGCAGGCACGTGAAATTGGCACGCCATCAATGATTAGGTGCTGTCTATCCGCCTAGAGGGAGACATGTCCGTCTTGTATAAGCCAACTAACGGATCAAAGTTAGCCAACCAACCTACTCGTAAAGATCGGCGTAGAGATCCGCAGTTTCCTTGGGCATCAGGTTGTAGTTATGAAGATCATCAAAGCTGGTCAGGTTGAGTCCAGTGTAGTGGAGGACATAGTCGGCGTAGCTCCGATCTCCGTGGTCCCTTCCACGCTGTAGGTCGATTGCGAAGAGGTCGAGGCCGTGTAAACCGCCCTTCGGATTGAACAGGTAGCGGGTTACCCCGTACGTGCCGTACCTACAAGGGCAAGAATTGTACTATTTTGGAGCTCTGGAAAAATTAATCTTAAAGACCGACGACCAGTTCGCGCTTTCCACTTTTCCCTCGCTTCCTCCTCTCCCCCTTTCTACCCTGTCCACCGTTGCCTCTTTCCTCCTCCCCCATGGTGAGGAGGGTCTTCTGCCTTGCAGAATCTCGAGTATGGTCGTCGGCCTTTAAGACAGCAGTTGTTAACTATATTAGACCGGAATATATATATATTGTTCGGTAGGGACATTGTTGAACGAGAAATAACACTAACTTTACCACAAGATATAGAAATATGCGTGTGTGGAACAATACTTGGCTATACTTCGTGTCTCCTTAAGTCCAAACGCAGCAGACGCTTCGAGCTGATGGGAACAATCGGATAGCGTCATGTACGCACAATCACGGTGTTCATTTTGTTTTCGTTCGCGTTCTATTATCGCAGACCCAATTATAAACAGAAAAGGCCCAGTGACTTGTGCTTTTAAAGCTGCTTGGTTGGTTCCGTTAGCTCGTAGCGTTGACTCCGTCTGGACTTAAGCTGAAACGAAGTGAAGAAAAAAACTTTAGGCCTTTCCACTTTGGTGAAGAAGGAAGACCAGCGAAGGCTGTACTATGGTGGGAATGAAGTAATGGCCGGCCGCAAGTCGGCAAGCCAGAGTGGAAAGGCTGGAAAGGTTGCCGCCCTCTATGAGCCGCGGCGGCAACCGGACAACCGGCAAACACAACACTCTGGGCAGCTACCACCATCTATGAGCGACGGCGTCAACCAGAGTTTTGTGTCGACATTTTTTTGCGCGGGACACGATCCTGGGGAAACTAGCCCTTAACAGCTCCGCTGTAACAAACCCATTCCACTCCACTCACTAGCATTAAGATAGTGCCATATCCTCCCCTAGTGGTGTGGACGTTCCGCATACGAGAGCGAATGCACGTCGCGCCGACCGCGCTGCGCGCGCGTTTCCGACGAAAAGGGTTGCCATTGGCGCATCGAGACACCGGGTTCGACGAGGGAGCAGAGACGACTCTGTTCACGAAGTCCAGTCGAGAGACGGCGCTACCCTACTGCCGCGCGCGCAGTTAGCCAAGTTGGCAGCGCGCCACTGGCCGAATGGTGTTATCGTGCTCGACTCCCACGCAAAAGGCCAAGGTTCGATCGGCCTGGGAGCGGACGCAGCTTTTTGTTATTTTTGTAAATGTCGCGTTCTGGTGAATTCGAGAGCCCTTGTTGCTTGTTCGAGGACCGAATATGTTCTATGCGCCGAACATTGTGCACCGGTTTTTCCGGAAACCCACGCGTGTACATCAGGGGCCCTGGTGGTGAGCCAGAATCGGTCTCGCTATAAACAAGGAAAGCTTTTTTTTTATTTTTTTTTTTTAACAGATAATATAATTTTTTCATGTCAAGCGTCGTGCAGGCATATTCAAACTCCGTGAGATAAGCTAGCAGTTCGAATGACAGGCTAGCATAGTGTCCGCTATAAAAATATATACTTTTTGGTGCGCTCGGCTTATCGATGACAGCGTGTTGACATGTGATATGTGCAGTCTCCTTCAGCGTGACTAGATTCTGGCGCCTTTTTATGCAGTGTGCATTTTGAGAGAGAACAGGCCCCTCCAAGTGCGAACTTAAAAACAATGCAAGGTAATATACACTGAGCTAATATGGCCAGTTCAAAATACTCAAGTTTACGACGGAAGTACGTTTTATCACCATGACAAACTTTATGCCAAATGGGCGGCATGTGAAAGAAACAAAGATTACTTCCCGCGACCGCCAACAAAATGTACATCACGATATGAACAAGCACATTTCACGTATCGCGCTCATCATCGTCGTACCTGTCAAATGACTGAAAGGGCTCCTCGATGAGTCCTCCAATCACGGTGGGCAGATCGCCTGCGTAGAAGTCGAATGGGTCGAAAAATTTGTCCTTGATCTCGAAGCTGTCTTCGATGCCGTTCGAGTCAGCCCTGCAAAAGTGAGAGGTGGAAGTCAGTAATTTGCGCCGGATGGAATTGCAGGCAGCCAAGTCGATAATTAGCCTGCACATAAATCACACTAATGGCCGTTGTATTCTTTATACCGTTGAGTGCATGTACCTTCCTCTGCGTATATTTCAGACCACCATATTCGTTTTTTCTCTTTGCCAGAACACGCAAGATTGTCCTTCAACAGGATGCGTTGCCGTGACGTTCAAGCCACGCATCCACTTATGCAAATCATAACGCCAAGCCCTTTATTTTGTAGGTGATACTCACGACGGCGGGGTTTAGTTAGCTTTAGCACTTAATATTTTTTTGGCTAAATAGATCAGGCCCTTTAGCATCTTTCGTTTTCGTGTAAAAGGTGAAATTTCAAAGTCCAAATATTCGCCTTATTTAAACTGCCTTACGAAAACTAAACTGTAGTTGCAGTCAATTCTTCGGTTACATGGATTCATGCATATAAAGACTCGATTACACTACTGGGCTGAAAACAAAAATAATAATAATTAAAATTAAGAAAGCATACTCACGTCTAAAAATAGTTATACATAAAAAAAAAAAGTACAGGCGTCCAACTCACCAGGCGACGCATTTTAATTATAATAGAAAAGTTCTCAATTGAAGAGTATTGTTTGTTGCTACATAAAAAAAAAACCTGCCGGAGTAGTTCCGCCTTTAAATTCCTGTAGAAACACGTTCTACTCAATATAAACACACTTTTTAGAGAGTGTAACAAAGGAGAGAAAAAAACAAAAAAACATGCACGTCTACAACATTGTACGTTTGCTTGTAAATTAACGTAATATATTTCATGTAAATTGTACGTCCGATGTCATTTATTATACTAACTATAAGGGCTCAAGAAAACCAGGGTTTGGCGAGCCACAAGCCTCTTCTTATCGCCCCACAGCCAATGACATATTGTGGCATTAGACGAGAAGAACGCCCAATCACGAAGCGAGAAGCGTGTTGGTAATAAGCCATACCCTGTGATTCTTAACCTATCAGTGACTATCCCAGCGATTGAGAAATATAAATTACCAGAGGATGCCCACTAGATTATCAGCCTTCTAAGGGCGCTTAATAAATTTAGGATTCGAAAAAAAAAAAACATATCCAAGGCGCTTTACAATCCTCTTCATTTAATAATAGTAATATAAATAATAATATATAGTTTCACAGGGGTAATATTACCTTAGATGGTGTCCCAGGATGGGCGGAAGGTTAAAACCCGTACGGAAAGTGCACCTGCCAGCACGCAAGGACTAGCAGGTGCACTTGCAGTTTGAACAGCGCACTTGCAATTCAAACTGTGCATTTGCAGTTTAAAATCAGAACCTCTACCCACATCATTCATGTTCCGTATGAACCCGTGACAGGTATTACACAGAGGGGTGTTGGCATGCGATAAGTATAAAACACAACTAACGCAACAATAATTCAGTAGTAATTAAACTTTGCAATCTAATTGGAGGGTCAGAAAGGAAAGGGGTAGTAGCATGCTGAAAATATATTAGCGTTATTTATAGAGACAATGTAGTTAGGTAGAGTATTCTAGTCTTTTATTGCCAATGGTAATGTAGATATTCAATAAGAGGCTGTGCACGACGAAGGAATTCCACGTAATCTAAAAGAATGGTCAAGAGAGACAAAAAACGGTGAAGCGGTGATACCAAGGAGTCTTTGTCTGGGAAGCAACATCAGAAAGACATCGCAAAAAACGTATTCATACCTTACTCTTTTTAGCAAAATTAATGACTGCATTTTAAGGCACATATAAAAGGTAACTGAGTGGTGACTGCGTCAGATTGAAACAGAATACTTATATAGCAAGGAACCGGCGGCCGCGGTCAGAATGGACGCGAAAACATTTTTCGGTTTTTCCACAATGTGCCCATATAATAACCCTACATTTTTTTTTTCAAATTCTGGCCAAATCAGCGTGGCTGAAATGTGCCGACACTTTTTCGCACGTAGTCCTGCTGTCGGAGGACGTACACAAACCCGGACTTACGGCCATTTACCAAAGATAACGATTACGAAATAAAGAATGCTTAATTACATGAGAAAGGTGCCGTTGACGAGAGTGTGTCCCAAGCGGAAGGCTGCAGCGGCAAACTCATTCGTCATGCTGGCGTCGACGCTGTCGTTGTAAGACGTGTAGCCTGAAGATCTGGGCGTCAACCCATACGCGTCCGAGGTGTTGGCACCAATTATCTCGGGCAGCCATTCCTTGTAGACCACGTGTTGTAGCTGCGACTCCACGATGCGCCTATGACCAAACAGTTGCGAAGAAAAAAAGTTACGAAGCAACATCAGCCGCTGTGAAAATATCCGTCTCGTGGCATCGTTCTACCAGAAGCACACAACCTGCTCGCTGTAATGAGAAAATAAACTTTTTCTTTTTTTTTTGGGGGGGGGGGGGGGGGGGGGGCGGGGGGGGGGGGGCGATTCCAGTGTTCTTTAAGAGTATTGAGAGTTTAGAAACATGCGCTGCTTTGTTGCCGGATGGAATCTCTCAAGCGCAGGAATACTTGTTATAGTCAATGTCAATTTAAGAAACGTAAGCTGTGGCTTCTTTAAGTTCACACTTCTTGTTTGTGATTGGTTTTTTGACATCCGTATAGGTTAATGCTGCAATTTCATTGCCTGCGGAGTGATACTAAGAAGCTGAGGACCAATCTTGCCCTTCGTTTATGGTGCTCTCTGTGACTAAGACGGTAACTCTTAAGATGTCCTCGGGGACAGTATGTTTCTGTTTATTGAGTGGGGCGAACTGGCCTCTTAGTACTTGAATCTACAAAATACTGTTCAAAGTGGTTAAACGAGAGCATTCATATGAAAATCAAATAGCTTTTTACATAACCAACGCTCGACCAGAATTTTTCCATTAAAATATATATGCTAAGGTGTGCGTAATCAGCGACGTACTTTAGCACGGAAATCTTCGACGGCACCTGTCTAGACTTTGTTCGGAGTTTAGGAAACAAATATCGATAAGAACAACACGCTCCCCGGAACCCTTAGTTAATGGTCAAAGAACCTCGGACGTAATTGCGTGAGCCCCCAGTGAGCCGTACACTAAACTAAATATCTGAAACTGTTTTCACGGTTTTCACGGTGGGAAAAAATGCGAATTAAAGCGCATCGGAGTGCGAGAACTGCGTTTCTTTCGAACGGTCGTGCACAAAACTTATCCTTAGCCTTGACCTTTTCCCCACTCACTTCTGTGGAGTTTTTGCTTAGATGTGTCACCTTCGAGCAAAAACTAGTCAGTACGCCGGTATTAAAATATCATATTCTGCGTGTAACATATTTTAGGGCCTATGGAAGAGTTAACCTGGCTTGGGCTATATGTTGCAGTTGCTCTATTAATGTTACGCGTGTTAAATCCCTATGTCCTGCTTCAAGGTTGACCGACCAAGCTGCGTAACATTCTGTGAATACCTGGTGTGCTATCTTTACTAGTGATGAGAACAGTCATAATGGATGTTTTTATGAAAAGCCCCAGACAATACATCGACCTATTTTCTGAAAGGATGACCTTCCTCACTTTGTAACTTGAAATATTTCCTCGTCCTCCCAATGAGGGTTAACGCCTTGAAGCTGCTTGGCTATCCTGTTGTGTTGCAGGAACAAAATAATCTGCAACGATGTGAGGGCCGGATGCTGATTGGACCTGGGGTCACCTATAAAACACACAAACAAAAAAGGAATTAGTGAAGGAACCTTCGGGCAAACAGGACGTGGCCCTGTATTTGAAACAAAAATAAACATTACGCGTAATGGTTTGATTTCCATCAACACTACAGTGTTTTTAAAATGTCTCTTCTCCGTTCCAACAGTGAATAAAAAAATTAAAAAAGGGAGGATGACATTATGTCCACATATCTCAGCTTCTCTAAGCCTCATTCAAAACTTTCACAAGTGAGTTTCCTTCTCAAGAAGGTCCGAACACCTATGCAGAGCGTATCAGCGAGAGAAAAAAAGTCAAGTTAGGTCTGTGTACACATGACCGGTGCATCCCACATACCGCACGAAAGCGCTATACTGAGCATGTTCAGAACTTGTTCCACAGCCCAGCAGACAAACATGGCCGCGTGCAGAAGGCGCTCTTTATGCGATGCTCTGCATGCAAGACCATTTTAATCGCAAAATGTAAAAGAAAAAACGAAAAAGCTTGGTCAAAAGGTTTGACCTGTTTCGAAGCAAATCTGGTTTTCGTCAGGGTGACTACACTGGTCCGAGTCGGGATTGAAGCTCGGAGGCGGTAGCATGAGGTTGTTGACCTCTTGACTCTTGAGAAGGCCTGGAACGCACAAGTTATTTTAACACGCCGCTCAGCAAAGGAATATCAATGCTCTGCTGGACTGAATAAAGAACGATCCATTGGTGGATCCGTAGGGAATGCGTTAGCATGCCCCCTGGGAAACGCGACACACATCCTCCTTTTAGGAACGCTAATGCCGACCCATTCACTTTCCTGCTAGGGCTTCTTCTTTTGCTTCCTCTATTTTTGTTGCCTCCTTTCGGTTTCGTTACGGGGTCGGCGTCAGCGTTAGCGTTAGCGTCCATTTTGTAACACGAACTAAGTCGTTCGCGCTCCGCGCGCCTGCAAGTTCAGACTCGCCCCAGCATTCGGATTGGCTTCCACGCCGTGACGTCGCCTCCCTCTCGCCATTGTCCCTCGCTACTCTACTCTCTACGCAGCGTGCTTCCCTTTCCACTGTTTTTTTCCGCAGACGGACGCCATCAGCTTTTCGCTGTCATGAGTGTACTACTGCTAACGCATTAAAAATGCCGGAGGGTTTTGAACTTATTCTAAAATACGAGGAATTGCCAAAAGAGCTTGCCATTTTCGAACGTTCTGAGGCTGTCTGTTTGTTCCTTGCTGATTCCGTAGATGTGCGAGGCGTCAATGTACGATGACCTCGAGTTCATCTGCTCCCTGCGCCCTGAAACATTTATGTCGTTTGCTCGGTGAGATGTATCAATCATGCTAAGTTGTCAACATGGGCAATCGAGCATACAATCGGGAAGCGCAGTAAGCGGACACTCCTAATTTTCAATACCAAAAGAGGGCATGATTTTGGAAATTGTAAACGTGCGAAGTGTGCATGTGTGTCTGCGCGCGCGTGCATTTATGTGTGCTTGTTTGCGGGAGTGTGCGCGTGCGTACGTGCGTTTGTGAGTGTGCTTGTACATGCGTTTGTGTACGTGCTCGTGCTTTTGTTTACGTGTGTTTGAGTGTTCGTGTGCGCGCATGGGTTTCTACGCTATTGTGTGCGTGGTTTTGCGTATATGTACTTTTGTTTGCATTTGCGTCTGTTTGTGTGCTCACGTGCGTTTGTGCGTGTGTGCGTGCGTGTTCTCATTAGAAAACATTACACACCGAGCATACAACGGAAACAAGGGGAAGAGCGGGTGAACGACAGGCAGCTGACGTTGAAGTCCGAGAAGAAAGGATCTTCTGCCGGAACGTCGATGGGGTAGCATTCCGGGGACGTCCTCTTGGAGAGATCGCAGCACTCTTGGCCGGGTGGGCCTGAAACCGAATATGCTCGTAAAACACTGCCACACGTCTAAATACATCATACAAAATGACAGCCTATGCAGTCACTGTCTGAGACTCGCTTCGTTCTGGTACGGCGGTTCTGCCACATTGATCGTACGGAAACTGTCTGCCTACAAGTGTATAATGCAAACTGGCTTCGAACATGCTCGGGGCGTGTCCCCAAATAATTTTGTCGTCATGTCTGCATGCGAACGCCGTGGCTTCTGTATGGTGAATAAGCAGTGTGACTTGGGCTATAAAGTTGTAGGTTCGACTTCTCAGAGTGTAATTGGAATTAGGCTGTATTACCTATAGGCCCAGCACACGCGTATAACCTTGTTTGACTCAAAGCAAAAAGTCAGTCATTGCGCTCTGGGACTAGAGACAACCGAGCGACAACGACATCAATAAAGTGGGTGCTCGGAAGTAGGACAGCGCTGATAGTGTGCATTGAAAGAAGAATTTATGACTTTAATGTTTTTCCCTGTGTTTCGTCATACGCTTAGGGGCGGCGGGAGTGTATGCCACGCGGGCTGTGCTCAAGCGAGGGTTTACGGGCAAATAGTGTAATAAAGATTGTTTCATGAGAAGCCAAACTACGCGCTAGGTTGATGGAAACGTTAGTGTCAATAACAAGGACAGGTTATCAGAAAATGTCATATGGGACAGGTCCCGGGCAGCCCTCAGGTGCAAAGGGAGAGAAAGAGAAGGAATGCATGAAGATTGTGTGGAGAGTTAGAACTCGTAGACAACTAGAACGTGAAAACAATTTAGTCGTCTGCGTCTGTGAAACGTTCTAGTCGTCGGAAGTTCTTCGAACTCCAGGGGTGACATGGAAGGTGTTGAGAAATCACCATCTCAACTAGCAACAGGGGTGTCATCACGAACAACAAGGGCTGTGCCGAGAAGCGGCGGTATGACTCTGAGCGAGATTGGTTTGATGTTGGTGGTTTGAGTTCAAGGTGGGAAATGTGTTTGCCGGAATGTTACTGCCACAGCCGCTGAAGGAGCTAACACAAGGGGTGTACAAAGGACGCCGAGACGGTGCACTTTGTACAGGAGAGACCCCTCGCACCGTCAGGTTTGTCCATGCAGCCATTTTGATGCCGCCGGGAGACGAAGAAACTGTTGTGTCTTGCGGATTTTGTCTGCTAGTTTAGTATTTCTGACTGCGCTGGTAGGTATTTACTGGTATGCATAATGTTTGTATGGTGCTCAGGGATAACGCTTTCTCATTGCTCATTTCAATGTCACGGTCATAACACCTGATAATTATTGCATCCGGTGTGACTTGGCATAAAGTCAATAAAGCATCTGCGTGTATTTTCGAAACGAAAGTGCAAAGTGTGATGAAAACGAATCGCGTCTTATAAAAGCGATTTGCGCGAGTCTTTTTTGTTCAATATGGGCCTCTGCGGACCCCTGAATGCATTCGTCAGGACTGCGCGCCGTGCGCGATCCAGTTGTCTCAGCAAAGTTGGACACGCTGCATATCAATTTTGAAAGCAATGTTTATACAGCCTACACCATTATTAAATGCAACGATTTCGATTTTTATTTCAGCATGATCGGGTAGAAACGAAACCCAAAACCGGCCTTGCTAGTGTTGTGAACATACGTTTTGCGGTAATGTTTTCTTCGGCAATATTGCTTTAATAGTAATATAATGGTAGCAAAAGAACGTTTTTGGTCGGTTTTATTTGTTTTATTTCTATTCTGAATACTTTAATATCCGTTATGGGCATAAACAGTACGTTTCGAAGCCAAGTACTGCCAGTCGCTCTACGTTCGGTGCCAATAGTGGCCCAGCAACTATGTGCGTCGCGCGACGGCCTTTTGCGTGCATGAGTCTCAAATGCAAAAATAACGACGCGTATACCCAGGCGGTGCGTCATGCGTAGCACCGCGCGGCGTCCAGTTTCACTGCTACCAGGTAGCGCGCGCTCGAGCGCTCGAGAGCAGACGACCGGATACATCACTCCAGCGAAAAACAAAAAAAAACAAAAAAAAAACGTAGTTTGTTGTTTTTGAGATTATTATTGCAGTATTATGTTCCCTCTACGCTACTACTTTTACTTGTATCATCTACTATCGACAACTGTTACTTGCTTCTATCATCTACAAAAGCATACACACTTTGTAATAACAGCGTTTGCGATCTTAAAGGCCGATGTACAACCTCGGTTTTCTGCGAAGAAGATAATCCTCTTAGCGCTCTCCCTCTACTAAGCTGCGAGGGGAGTCAAGTTGGAGCTAGAGCACTATATAGCTCCTACGGAGCAGAGTAACGCAATCCTTTGAACCCCGTGTTTTGCCGACAACATGGCCGACAGAGCGGCTCGGCGCGAGTCACGTGGTAATTAGGGTTCCAGGAGGCGGCCCGCCCTATGGGAGAATACATGGAGATCGGAACAACACGGCTGATTAAAAAACATTTTTCAAAACTAGTCTGTCGTGAAGTTAGTAAAGCACTAAACACTTTATCAAAGTTTTAACAATATCGGATGCGTGTGCAAATTTTGAGAAGGCAATTTCCAAGGCAATGGCGTTTGAAGCAGACGATTTTTGCTCGCAGCGGAGATGGGCTTTTCGGGTTGGCCGGAGCGGGTCACGTGAATGGTGTGACGTCGCCGTGTCGTCTGCTGCATGATGCCGCTCAGGCAATTTTTTAAAAAAAGTCAGGTCCTTGCGGGGCACAAAACTTAGCGCAAATTATTCTAAAGTGTTCCATTATTATGTCAAAAATGATTGCGATTCCGTACATTCCCACAATACTGGAAAAACAACGATTTTCTCACGTTCTCCATGCATTTCTGACCGCAGTTGGAACCTCCGGGCGTTCGCCGCTAGTCGCCGAGAGGCGGCGTTCTAGATTGCCCTACTCTGCTCCGAAGGAGCTATATAGTGCTCTAGTTGGAGCAAGGTATAGAGCGGTGAGCATATAAGAAAGGAGGAGGCGGGCAAAAGTGGAAAGCGTGAAGTGAATGTCGGCCTTTAGCCAAATGTCACGTTTTCAATGGTCACATGCCGTCCTGGCTGCCGGCAGAATGCTCCTCCCATCACCAGAGGTAATTTCTATCTTTGATCGTTTTTTTTACAGCGGAGCTGTTAAGATCTAGTTTCCCAAGATCGTGTCCCCCACAAAGAAATGAAAACACCGAACCCTGGACACGTTCCGCCATCTATGAGCGATGGCGGCAAGCCACGTATGTGGTTTTCGCCCTCGCTCATAGATGGCGGCAGCTTTTCCACTCTGGCTTGCCGAGTTGCGGCCGCCCCTTACTTTCCATTGTACAGCTCGCTGGTCTTCCTTCTTCATCAGAGTGGAAAGGCTGAAAGCATTTTTTTTAATATGAAAATCGGCCGGCCGCTTATAGTCATATTGAGTTATCGCCATATTTAGGCGACCTCAGAAACCTCCCCAGTGGCCCTACACACAGTTTGTTTGACAGGGTTTGACTACTTTGCGTCGAGAAACAAAATCGAGCCACCAGCACATCCGTGCTTCGTATGAAGCGTGGAATTCGATTCAAGGCATAGTTTAGCACGGAACAGAAGAAGTAGGGATATCCTGGTTTCTCCAGCCGCACGGCACTGAATCGCAACTGAGCGTTGGGGCCTTTAGAGTCCTAGCTCTTACCTGTGCTTCGACAACGTTAGACTTTTTGTGTTTTTTTGTACGTTCCTCGCGATCTCGCGTTCCACACCAAAGCAGGCACGCTTCTACATGCGTTACAGTTTTAGACGTTCAAGTTTATACTGCCCAAAACAAGTCCTAACAAGTCCCTTTTCGCAGCGCCCTCTGGGCAACGCAGGAGGTATATTCAAGGACACCGCCGAGCTTGAGGCGCACGTAGCCAGTTTGGCTAAACATCCCGGCTTGGTACTGTAACGAAAACCTCAACGAATGTTCGCCGCCAAGGATGGCAAGCGGGGCACGCCATCCTTGGCGCTGTTTACGTGATAAGGATCAAAGGGTGCCCGACTGACGGCGAATCTCGGGTTTGGCGCTGGAGACGTTGACGGAGTTAACAGGTGTTCACACCTGCCGTTTCTATCTCGATGAGCAATACCAACTTGTGGTTGTTTCAGCTCTGAGTGATGTGCGTTAAAGATGACAAGCTATAGCTGGGGCGCTGCACTGATTAAATTTCATACCTACAGCGGATGCACCACACGTCCATTGGGGCTGATCACAGTCTAAGAAACTTAAATATACACACAACACGATCAATACACAACTCATTCTTAGAAGACAGGGGATAACGTTACCAAGAGTTAAGTTTCCGGGTGTGGTTGCCAAAGTGATATCGTGGTCCAAAAACTGTCCGAACTGCATGGCTAGGTGCGTCCACCTGGTGTCGGGAACGTTCACCTCTGGGTGAACCGTGAAGGATACCTTCCTTGCGTTGGGAAGTGGATCACCATTACGGGCGACCCTGGGTTGGCTGAGTCCTGTATCGATCGCAGTCAGGTGTTAAGAAACATTTTAAGGAGCATCTGCGTGTGGAAAAGGAAACCATTTTCCCCTATAACATCTTCCTAAGAACAAAATTGGCTTCCTCCTGAGATGGAACGGAGCTCGCGGTTTCTGGGCGACTAAAGGCCACGGTGTAAGATACACTCTTTAGGTGAGGACACGGCGAGGCTGAACGCGCGGCGCGAGAAATCAGATAGTGTTCGTTCGACGGGCATCCGAAAGGCTGCATCATTCCGCTGCCACTGTGCCCACGGCCGACAGTGTCGCCGGCGGCCAAACGGCGAAATGTGTGTGAGCGAAAAAACATTATCTCGTTGCCATGAGACCCCGGTACATCGTGGCCTTTCTGCACGTGCGACAACCTCACTGGAGCTCTGCGCGTGTGGTACATGAGGCGGCACGAGCCGTCTTGTACACGTGCCTACGGGTCGACAACTCAACTGCCGGCGCTGCTTGAAACCATAGGGAGAGAGAGTGAAGAGCGAACTTTTTTCGAGCACGTAACGACGAGCGCGCTGTCCTCACCTGAAGACTATTATCTTACACCGTGCTGTGTACGCGAATGCTGAGCGCGTGTTAATGGCGAGCTTCCACAGTTCTTTTGCAACGAGCATTCCTCACCATCAAGATTGCCGGTCTTAGCAGCCTATTATTGTGGGCTGGTTCAGAGCATGCGCTCTAGACATCACCCACAAATATGGCACCCAGTGAATACTCCTTATATGCGAGACTAGTGCCACTATGCGAGACCAGACAAAGCCACGCGCTCGTGCACACAGCCTTCACAGCAGTCCAGGAATTACGCTTTGCGGACAACGTCACTTGCAAATATACAGGCATGCACACGCGCACATGCACATGTTTCTTGCGTAAGCAACCCTTTTCAGTCGAATAAAGAGAGGACATTCTTGGAGCTATTGTATGACAAGAAGCGCATAAATATATAGCGGGTGTCTTCGCTTTTGGGGCAACACGGCATAGTCAATTTATAATTTAAGAAGCTCGAGTCGTGTTGCGTCCGCGATCATCTTATTAACGCTCTGATAAGATTACTGCTTTTGCCGAAAAACAAAATGCCGAAGCACGAACCACAAAGCAAGAAGTGGGAACATCTTAGTCAACGCTCGGCGTTTCCCAAGTTCTGGGGTACAGGAACTCTAAATAGTCATGTAGCGTGCGCGCAGATTCAGATACTAGATCTTAGTCATATACCCAAACCTCGTCACCCACTGACGCGAATGTAGTACACACGAAGAAATGTGGAGAGCGTTTATACTAGTTGCCACCTCAAGAAGAACAAGCAAACACAGTTTGCACATTGCTTATAAACCGCGCTAAGCAGTTCTTACGAGACTTGGTTGTCGTAGGAAAACGCGTTGCTTGTGGCCTCTGAAACCGTGCACGCCTCTATAAGGTAACGAATATCTAACCTAAAATACACCTACATACATTTCAATTCTCCAAATAAAGGAGTGGAAGTAGCCATCTTCCGCGAGGAGCTGGGCCTTTTTTTTTTACTACGGTAGCGGAGGTGAAATTGGGTATAGTTTAACAAAGAGCACTTGGAAGAGCCAATCCGTGCAATCTATACTAAAGCAATTCGACGAATGACGAGCCTCAAAATATCTTTAGACTTAAACAAAACCGTTTGCGCTGTGACACTGAGCATGGCATATCAGCATGCTCAGTGACGCAGCGCAAACTTTTTTTTAGATATATGTTTACGCTCGTCGTTCGCGGAACTCCCTCGGTAAATGTAAACGTCAAAAAAAAAAAAAAAAAACACTGGTTAGGTGGCGCAAGTCGCCGCCCGAATCAAAGGGGTCAGCCTCGTCCATCCAGATTTCCGCGATTGGCTTTCTCGAGTGCTTTGGTGGAAAGCAGATGGTCCGGATTTTTTAAAGTGTAATGTGCGTAGTGTGGGAAACTGTAAAACATCACCATCTGCATAGTCCGCTGGAAGGATCCTTCGCATGCAGGAATCGGTGCTTCCCCAGTCTGGATTCGCTAGGTTGTTGCAACTGCCGTCAGCCGTCCGGTACGGATAGGTGGCGTCACAACTGATCGCTGGAGATTCGCAGAGGTTGGAAATATTGACATCTTCTAAGGCGCGAACGCTCTCCTCTTGAGTTTCAAATCTCTGGGGCCTGTGGTGAAGAAACGGCAGTTATGGTATTAGCGAGGCTCCAGACAAAGTGCATTTCTGCGAACATTTTGACACGAGGAGTCAGGAACTACATATAGTATGCTTTATTGTTCTGTCCTGTCGTTATACACCTTCGAGAATTCAAATTACATAGAACATTAACCGCCACTGGGCAAGTTGAACCCACATCATATTGGTGCTGGCGTCTGTAAATCGTCTGGTAGTCAAGCCTGGCTAAGCCTAGGTTGCAAGTGGTTATCAGACCTGCAGCAGAGCATTTTTTTTAATTCACGGTGGCCATACTAGCATTCAAAGCGTGGCTGCAGTGCTCACAGCCATTTCTACGGTTTATGTTTGCGTAGAGGCATGCATGGTCGAGAAAGTCGCATAGTATCCCGAGTATTTTTCGCGCATAATGGGTCGTACGTCTAGCACCTAGCAGTTTCCGGTTCCCCACTCCAGTGACGGAAGACCGTAACACGAAGGCTGAAACCCGTTTCCTGAGTTATTGAGCACGAGCTCCTGCCGAATGCTGACGTAGTTGTCGTGTCCTCACTGACATAATACGAAGAGGGAAACTGAAGCAGACGATGAGACGACAGCGCGCTGTGACGTCAGCGCGCCGAGCTCTGATTGAAATGAGGCTGGATAACCGCAAAGGCTTTTCCCACTGTCTGCCCCCAATCAGAGCGAACAAGAGCGCCTCCAAGCTTTGCTTTGCCTCTCTGCCGGCTATCTTTCTCGCCACAAGGCAACCCAAGCACTCGCGAGCCAGCGATGTCCGGAGGGAGGCGTACGCCATTAGATTGCCAACGCTCTTAGATGGTTTGAGTTGCTTCCTCTTTTAGATCAAGGTTCTCTACCTGCATGTCGTCGACATCGAATCTGTGCTTGTAATTACACGTGGTTATTGAACGTACCCTGCTGTAAGCTGTCTCGAAGTTTCTTCGAAGAGTCCTGCCAACTCCACTTGACGCTCTGATCTCGCGAGTGATTCGTCGCTTCGCGACACCTCCAGGCGGGATGCGTAGGGACATCCTGATGTTCTCGCTTCACGGCGTCCTGAGGAAGAAAGAAAAAAAATCCAAGCGCGAAGTTAGTTAGTGTTAAGTTGACTTTGTAACGAGGGAATGTGTGCGCTCTGAGTCGGGAGCCGAGAGCGGAGTGTTTGTATACTGACTGGAGATCCAATTAGAGTGCATTGTGCGGGCGCTTAGCCAACATTGTCTCTGTGGTCACTGACGGCATAAGAAACATTAAGGAGTGGCGAGCCAAATGCATCTCATTATCGCTCCGCATTCAATGGGATTACGGAGTTACTTGATAAGAATGCCAAGAAACGGATCACGAAGCAAAAAACAAAAATATAATAAGCCACCTATAGAAACTAATCCGTGCGCTCGTATCTGACACATTTCCTCAATCAGGCCTCCTGTAAGTTGGGAACATCCGTTGGTTTATATTATGTTTTCTTGTGTTCTGAATTGTGGCTTACTTGGTGCAATTGGTTTACAGGTGATCGCACCTCCAAGCGAGTTGCAGTAATTCGGAGGGCCAGACACGATAGTGGCCGACACGTTCGCTCGAACTGTTTCTTGTATGTTGGTCTTCAGATGTGTACTCTAGGCATGCTCTTCGCTCTAGCTGGCGTTCCATTCGAGGGATTGTTGTCCGCGAAGTTTTGATAGACACATTTAAGTCTTTCCGCACTGGTGGCGAAAGTGTAAAGCTCATTGTTTTGGTAGATCACGTGCAAAGAATACTCGCTGAGCTATTTCGGTGAGGTCATTAATGTTCATTTTGCAGTTCGAATTAGGGTTAATTCTAAAGTCACTTCCTGGCTCTACGCGGCAAACAGTCTGTTTTGTTGGTCAGTTGACCTTTTTCCCGCAATTTATCGTAAGTGCCAGACTGTTCAGCCTTTGAATTAAGAAATGTTCGTCTTCACCGGCACAAGAAAGCCGATAGCAGTGCTTTTCACCACATATTGCGGTCGATATTTTGCAAAAGTTGCTTCTATCTCTAGAGTTATGCGAGACAAAAACTGTTGCCATTTCTGTATTCTTCGGGAAAGGTTTCTTCGTTAATGCTAGATTAGAAGTATGCGTCAAACAGTAAACAATGTACCGTAATAATGTTATTGGCTTAACCTGAAGTCAATAAATACCACTGCTTTTTTAATCGTCAATTTTTGAAAAAGACTAAAAATAACTTAATTTTTGTCGGTTGCCAACCGAAGCAGACTGTCATTTACGCACAGCATATATCTGGAAACTTCCTCACGATGTACGCTTGGTGCAAGTTCAACAAAATGTTGATTAAGTGTATTTCCTAATTTCGCTTTATTCATGAAAACATCTATTTCTATTTCACCTATCTTTTCTATTTGAAATCCACCCTTTAATAAACTATCGAATTTCTACCAAACAACATCTGATCGCTAACCTCTTGAAACAAGGCGTTTAAATATGCGTATTTCACCCGTCCTAAGGTCTTAGTTACCAAATTTCCTTGCCACGTACATACAACAAACGTATATAATAGAGAAAAAAATTATCTATAAGTTTTAATATTTCAGGCGTAACCTAATGTTTACGTGATTTATGCTACATATTCTGAGCTCTGTATTGAGAGCAACATTTTTATAACATAGTTAACTTTTCCGTAAAACAGTTAAGGTATTGTCAGCGGACAGAGTTGACAGAACCGCACTCCAGGCTTCAGAGTTAATTTGTTGCTGAAATGTATCGAGGTTTCTTGCGCTTGTACTTATGAACTAGATTTCTTCTGTGTAAATTTCTCTCCTTAATGAACCCGTATTTAAAAATATAGGGTGGCAAGTAGTCACTAATTACCTCTCTGGCCACACCCGAACTTACGTTTGATTTGAAAATATTTGTCGAAGATAGACTTTAAGAGGTGTAGCACGAGTAGGCTGCGAAATTACGGTTAATAAACCGTGATATTGATATAACGAAACAAATTCCAGTTGACGTGGAGCCAAAGTAAGCATAGCTATGTTGAAAGTGTTATTAAAAAAAAATCAGTTTCAGAAATGAACCTGATACACGTAAATAAATTCAAAGACATTTGTCTAGTTCCCACTAGGTGGTCGATAGAAAACGGAAAAAAGAGACTGATCGTACTGTACAGTCAGGCACTTCTAGTCACTAGTGGCAACCGTAAAATAACCGATCAAAAATCATGTATGACCTTTTTTACATGCATACATACATCTCTTTCTTGTTTGAGATTTCTACTTCAGAGAAGTGAATAATTGTCTAGCCTATCAACTTCGTCTCTTGAATTGTACCACGTTTCAGCTAGCACGATTACATCATACATAAAATTAAAATTTAAAAAAATGCTTACTTCATTCATTTTATTCCTTACCGATCGAACACCCAAGTGAAACAAACAAAGTGGAATATTAGGCTGGGTCTTTAAAAAGAAGTCCAACCACATGTGGCGACATATAAGCCTCGTCATTCATAGTTAAAAAAAAAAAAAGAAATAACCGCATTAAGAACGAATCACTCACGTTTTAGCAGGCTTGTTTTAGCTTGTCACTAATACATTTGCTCCGAGCGTCATCCCTCCCACTTACGAAGGGTTTTACATCCTGTACCAAACATACTGATACCTCTTTGCTTTCGCCCATTCTTTCACTTCCCTTAAACACGCTTTGTCTTGCTGGGTCAGGCTTTCGGTGATAAATAGTTTACTTGGAGCAAGCTTCTAGTTTTGATCGCCTGCCTGTCAAGGCACAGATCTCGCGTGGCAAGCGCAAACGCTAAATTTATGAGCGTGTGCAGAATGAATCCACAAGCTAATTTGGGTGCCCGAGGCGCTGGGGTCCTGGATTATAAAACTTTCTACTGAGCTAAGCAAGCAAACTAATTTAAACGTTGCTCGTCTGCGCTGCCTTTCTCTTCAAGAAAAAAAAAAAAAAAAGGAGCTGTTATGCGCATTGCTCATACACATCGCAAAGTAGTTCCTACAAGACTTGGTTGTGGCAGGAAAAAGCGATGATTTTGGCGTTTGAAACGCGTACGTCTTCATAATATATACATATATATATATATATAGAGAGAGAGAGAAAGCGAGAGAGGAGAGATATAGATATTGCCGCGCGCGCAGCTCGCCTAGTAGGCAGCGCGCGCGTGGCCTAACGATTATCGCGCTTGCCTCCCACGCGAAAAGCTAGGGTTCGAATCCTGGGAGTGACGTGTCTTTTGTTTATTCCTGCAATTTAGTGTTGTGGAGAATTCGAGAATCATGTTGCTTTTCCAGGCCCGAATGTTCTACGCGTCGAAGTTTCTACGCCCATTTTCCAGAAGACCACTCATGTACATAAGGGGCTCCGCGTGGCGAGCCACAGTCAGTTTCGCCCCAGCGTTCGACTCTGCTGTTACGCCGACTTCGACGCCCGCGACGCTCTCTTATTACCTTTTGTACCCTTTTATTTTTGGCACAAGTTCGCCACATTAAACGTTTATTTATTCCTGTTTATTTCTTGTTTATTGGTCACCACCCGTGACATTTTGGTGGAGGTGCGGGGTAGCAGAAGTCCGTGTTCCGGGGGTAGACCTTGGGTGCGGCGACTGGATCGGGTCTCGATCTGGTCTTCGCTCGGTCCTCGGGAGGCTGGGTCCGGACTTGCACTGCGGGAACTCGGAGGGGAGCGCTGCACGGGCATGCGGGTACCCCGCACCTCGACTAAAATGTTAGACACGTTAGACCGGCTGCGCCACTCCCGATACTTTTCATCGATGGACCTGAAGAGCGGCTACTGGCAGATCGAAGTCGACGAACGGGACCGAGAGAAGACAGCTTTCGTCACGCCGGATGGGCTGTACGAGTTCAAGGTGATGCCCTTCGGACTGTGCACGGCGCCAGCAACTTTCCAGCGTGTCATGGACACCGTACTGGCAGGACTGAAGTGGCAGAGCTGTCTCGTCTACCTCGACGACGTCGTAGTGTTTTCCAGCGACTTCGACGAGCACCTGCGACGACTACAAGCTGCTCTCCAAGCCATACGAACCGCCGGACTCATCCTGAAGCAGTCAAAGTGTCGGTTCGCCTATGACGAGCTGAAGTTCCTAGGTCACGTGGTCAGTAACGAAGGCGTTCGCCCCGACCCAGAGAAGACTCGCGCCGTCGCAGCATTTCCAGCGCCGACGGACAAGAAGGCCATGCGAAGGTTCCTTGGGCTATGTGCCTACTATCGGCGCTTCGTTCGAGACTTCGCAAGGATTTCCGCACCGCTCACAAGCCTCACGAAGGACGCCGAGAAGTTCGAATGGGCCGAGGAGCAGCAGCAGGCATTTGACGAGCTGAAGCGACGACTGCTGGCGCCTCCTGTTCTTGGACATTTCGACCAGGATGCGGAAACCGAGATTCACACGGACGCAAGTAACGCAGGACTTGGCGCGGTACTGGTTCAAGTACAAGAGGGCACCGAGCGAGTCATCGCCTACGCAAGTCGGACATTGTCCAAGGCGGAGCGAAATTACTCCACGACTGAAAAAGAATGCCTTCCGGTCGTCTGGGCGATCACGAAGTTTCGTCCGTACTTATACGGAAGCCCGTTCCGCGTAGTCACGGACCACCATTCGCTCTGCTGGCTTGCGAACATCAAGGATTCGTCAGGACGCCTTGCGTGATGGAGTCTCCGACTACAAGAGTTCAACATGACCGTAGTCTACAAGTCGGGCCGCAAGCACAGCGAGGCCGACTGCCTGTCCAGAGCTCCCGTCGAAACACCCTCCGACAGCAGCGACGACGATGACGACGAGTGTTTCCTGGGCGCAGTGAACAGCGACGACATGGCCCGACGTCAACGAGACGATCCTGAGCTGCGTGCACTAATAGAGCACCTGGAAGGGCGTGAGAGTGCCATACCACGTGTCTTTTCACGAGCCCTGCCGACCTTCGCCATTAGATAAGGAGTTCTCTACAAAGAGAACTTCGGCAACAACAACTCCACGTGGCTGCTGGTAATCCCGACCGACCTTCGAGAGGAGATCTTCCAAGCCTGCCACGACGACCCGACGTCCGGG